GTAGTTTTAGGCGTTTTGAGTTTTTAGTAGAATTTTTTTTTTTTTTTTTTGTTTTCAAAAATTCATTTTCGAAAACGGGAAAGAGAACGCGTTTTCACTGTTTTGAAAAATCGAAAACAGAAAACGGTCCGAAAACAGCAAAGAGAACAGGGCCTTAATTTCTAAAAGAATTTATATTTCGAAACTAATTTTAGAGGAAGCATGATACCGTTGCTATAACTTCTTGTTACGTTGTTGACTCGCTTACTCACCTGATTTCTATGCGGTGAGTGTTTTGTTTAAGACAAGTTCACTAAATTCACTCAAGAACTTAGCTCATGTTTGATTTGGATAAAAATTATAATTTTAGTAAGTTCTGATTAAAAAAATAATAATAATGAAATAGGTAGTAAAAAATTTTATAAAGTTATGAGCCGTATGAAATGTATGATAAAAAATGAATTTGAAAAAAAAAATAGTTTTAGAAAATGGGAACTTACATTTTGATCAAAATGATTAGTGAAAATTATATCTTAAATCACCTTTTGAATTTTCCTTTTTAATGTTTGTTTGGGAGAGATTTTTTAAATTGAAAAATGTTTTTTAAAAAAATATATAAGTAAAATTGTGAATATTATAGAATGTATACTTGAAAATAATTTTCAAAAATCTTTGACCCATCCATAATGCATGTACCCACGAAAATGGAGATGAATTAGAATGACACGTGACCTTGTTTCCGAATTGAGTAACTATCACTGTAGCAATACTCACGTGCACCATTTCTATAAAGAATAAAGTATAACGTAATGATAGATTTTGTACTTTAAAAAATTCCTAGTCCACCTAGTTGAATGGCGATTAACTTGTCTTCGGATCAACAATTCAACGAGACTTCTTGCATATTTAACTCCGTACTATGACGTAGAAATGAACTTGAAAGAGTTTCGGATCTAATATGACTTGTATCTTCTTATCTATAAGTTGCTAATTTTGATCTCTTCTTCAACAAAAAATGGAAGCGTGACATGGTTCAAGTATTTATTAAGGACGGAATCCATGGACAAAAAGAGCGGTTTCCAAATCCAACCCAGTGTGAACTTTGGCAATTTTTTTCCTTAATTCATAAATTGGCCTTAAAAAAAATATTCAACCCACCTCAAAAGCCTAAATTCAGTCTAGTAAAAATGTTTAACCCACCTTTAACTATAGTGATCGGCCGCTGTCTACTTACAAGATAATGTACGCAAGCACGTGATTATCGAGCTAGAATCACTTAGCGGTGTTGTAGACGATAGATTTTACAATTGAAAATATTAGAATGATTGAGCCACCTAAAATTATGTGAAACTCAAGAATATAGAATAAAAGGAAGAACTGTAAATTTTTTTAAGGGAATGCCGATGCGGTGCTACTCGAAGACTATTCGATAGTCAAGATAGTGATTCTTATCAAAAGAATGTAAGAGTGTAGTTGAAAAGTAAATTTAGTGATTGTGATTGGGTGTACTTTGAGCTTTGAAGATGACAATATTTATAGGAACAAGATTGCTATCATTCAGACGAGATTAGCGATGATCCTTCAAAGTATTTGATTGGTTGGAGATATAATTTTCCTTGACATGAGCAATCGAGATGATTCGACCGTTCATAGACGAAATATATATGTGCCTTATCCTTAGTCAAGTCTAATGTAATTGATTTGAATATCGATGGTTCCGAGTTAACTCATAGTTCATTGACTGTTGTCCAAGTCATTTGATACTTTG